GGATGTTGGACTAAATATGTTGCATGTAGGTATGCAATTTTTATGCAATTGATTGAATACTTTATTTAAAGCTGCAGAGGGTTCAGTGTGTGTCAAGTCTAGATGTCAGTTGGTTCATACAGGTTTGAGAATATCTTGTTACCTTTTAAGTGTGATACTTCCAATAATTGAATTTTGATCTCTCGGACTTGAAGCTTTGAAGCTGCACATCCTCTCCGCTATAGAGCTGGAAGAGCTACAGTGTGCAGTAAAAGCATCATTATTCTGGGTTGCCAGTCAGATGTCAGTATTGCAGTCGGTGGGGAGATTTGCAGCTGTTGTAACTGACTCGTAATTACTAAAAAATACTTGGTTGGATGGATGGGAGGTGTAATTTAACTTGTAATTACTCAAGTTATCTGGACACCAAATAAAGAAAAGGGTAACAGGATGCTTATTGGAATGGTTCATTCATCTAAGTGGTGTAAAGTGCTCTCTAACAGGTCAGCAGATTTACAGTATTGGGGTTGTGATCTAGTGACGGTCACAGAATATGAGCCACCTGTATTAACTGATGCTTTAAGGGGACATGCAGACCTACCATTGCAATATTCCAAGACCCTCCCACTGTCTTCGCTGCGTGGGGTAAACATTTTGCTCTTCACTTTAATTTGTCCTCTGATTGTACATCATCATCATTACAGACCTGTAGTTTAGTTTATACAATATGATATCTTAAAAACAGTAATAACTGTTTCACTCTTTGCACTGAGCAAAATTCTTCAGCAATCCATCATTTCTCCATATTTTGCTGATAGAAAAGGAAAAGTCTTCAGAAATAGTTCTCCAGACTTCTTGAAGGACCTTAAAAGGTCTTCTTTGGATGCTGGCTGCCTTTTGTTCTGTTGTCTCTCGCAATGATCCCAAACCGATCCAAGACTGATAGTGCTCCATTATGTGCTTTTCTATCCAGATATGATTTTACTGCAGTGTGCTTGGGATCATTGTCATGAGGAAAAATAAAGCAAATGTTAATCAGATGCTCTCTAGATGGTATTATGTGGTGGATCAAACTCTGTCAGTACTTTTGAGTGTTTATAATTCCATCAGTTTTGACAAGATCTCCAACTGCAGCTCCAACCATAACAGAGCTTCTACCATGGCTGTAGACGCTCACTGCCGAGCTTCTCTTCTCAACACCTTTGTACTGACATTACTTTGAGCCCAAAATGTCTTTAAAGTTTGGATTAATCATTCCAAAGCCCTTTTTCCCATTGATTTTTCAATCTATTTCTTTTGTAATTTTGCATACGTCAACCTTTGTTTACCTTCCTTAAGAACGGCTTTTTGACAGTTGCCCTTCCACCAAGACATTTGTGATGAGGTTTCAGCAAACAGTAGGTGCCAGTAAGGGCCAGATTCATTTCTTCCAATCCGGTGGTTAAGTGATGACGTGACGAATCCTACTTCCGGGCCTAAAGTAGTCTGCGTTTAATATGGCTTTTGTGTTGTTAACATGTTTAATGTTTTGTATTTTCTTCTATTTAATCTCAAAAAGCTCCTAAAACAGTCAGTGATCACTGTTGACCTCCCTCGGC